CATATGCAGGGCAGAATTAAAACAGAGGTCTTTATGCCTACTCACTGGCTTTGAGATTTTGAGAAGCAGGGCATGTCAGATCCATCTTAATGATGTCATAGGAGTCACACATGGTTCTGGAGCTGACTGCAGAAATTAAGTCTTTGATTACAACTTCCTGATTTTGATGATCACCTGATTTTGGCAGCTTCTTATATTGCTGGCTTACTAATTATGCCAATAGTGATATGATTATGGAGTCAGTGGCTTTGTGGTTACAGAAGGAGGAAGAATTCTCTTGGTGACCTGAGCAGTGCTTTGGAAAGCTTCATGGATCCAGGGAAACTTTGGAGTCTAGGGACTGCCAAAAGTAAGAGCTCTGATAAAACCTGTTCTTTTTGGTTGGGATCCTAAATGGCTGTGACATAGAAATAAAGGGCGCATTGGAAGTAAAACAGTCCTCAAATGACCTGCAACCTGATTTTAAGTCATCTATATGAACAAAACATCTTGATCCTTGAAATATTCTTGAAAAGATTCTAGGTTTATATAGCCCTAGGTTAGTGAAAATCACTCAAGAGGACGATACTATCCTAAGCCTCAAATTCTCAATACAGATGGAACTGTACTAAGGATGAAAAACAGAAAAGAGAAAGAGTAGATACCATGTGAAGGTTCAACCCACATCCAATTGGAGTCTTGGGGGAGTGGAAAAAGGAAAAGGAGAAGAATGAGTATTTGAAGACTGAGAGTTTGCAAAATTGTTGAAAATTGTTTTGTCAGATTCATCCTCTCTCGATTATGTAATCTGTATTTTCTCAATGATTTGGTGGTGGTGTTTTGTTTTGTTTTTTTAAGATTTTTCTCTTTATCTTGGTGGGTTTTCTCAAACTGTAGGTGCATATTATTCATAAAATCTGGAATAGCCATAACCATTAACCCTTGAAAATTTCTTCTTTCCCATTCTCTTCATTCTCTTCTTCCCAAGTCCCATTAGGGTGTATGTTAGATCCTCCCATTCTCAACTCTGTGTTTCTAAATGTTTCTCTCACAACTCCATAATAAACCTCTCCCCTGAATTCCATTTTCTTCAAACTATTCTTTAGATTTCATGGTCTTTCTTTCCAACTATGTTCAGTCTCCTGGTTCACCTATTATTAATTTCACTGGGAATTATTTTTATTTCTAGAAGTTCTGTTTCAAGTCAACTAGTCTTTCAATAGTATTTAATGTGTTGTTCGGGGATGCCTGGGTGGTTCAGTGGTTTGAGCAACTACTTTTGGTTCAGGTCATGATCCTGGGTCCTGGGATCGAGTCCTACATCAGGCTCCTCTCAGGGAGCCTGCTTCACCCTCTGCCTATGTCTCTACCTCCTTTTGTGTGTCTCTCATGAATAAATAAAATCTTAAAAAAAAAACAGAACAATGTGTTGTTTTTATTTAGTGGTCTTAATTTCTTCTTTCATACTTTTAATAATTTTACATATTCATATCCAATGGCTGTAGTTCTTGTGTCTAATCCAGCTATATTGAATTGGCTTTACTTCACTCATGGTAATTAACCATTGATCAGGTTGAAATTTTGAAGCTTTATATTGCTGGGGCACCTGGATGGCTCAGTCAGTTGAGCATCTGACTCTTGATCTGAGCTCAGGCCTTGATCTCTGTAACATGAGTTCAAGCCCTGCATAGAGCTCCATGCTTAGTGTGAAGCCTACAATCAATCCATAAGTAAGTGAGAAATTTTAGATTATCAGCTTATGTTTGGCTGGGCTTTGTCTGTGGGAAATCTTTGCTAGCAAAGCCAGACATATATCTCTAAAAGAACAACAGAGGTTTCCCACAGATATTGCCTGCCAAGCATAAGCTCACCCAGGCCTGTAGTTGTGAATTCTCAGAAGAGAGGGTCATCTCCTCTTCCTTGTCTTTTTCCTTTTCCTCTCCTTTCTTTTAACCATGAGATAGTCAAGAGAGAGAATTTGCCTGCCATCACATTTTGCTTCCATATTGTCTCCACATGCCACTGAACAGATTTTATCCTTCTTGTCATTGTCTTTGAACTATTTTTTTTATCACTTTTACTGAGGTATTATCTACATACAATGAAATCAGCCAGTTTTAAGTATACAGTTTGATGGGTAACTACTGCCATAATCAGAGCATTTCCATGACCCAGTGAAGTTCTCTCATGCCCCTTTGCAGTCAGCCTCTTTTTTCCAACCTCTAATCTGTTTTCTATTACTAGAATTTGTCCTTTTCTAGAACTAATATAAAGGTAACAATACAGAATATAGTCTTATGTTTAGTCTTTTTTCACTTAAATAATGCTTTTACGATTCATCCATGTTCTTGCATGCATCAATAATTTGTTCCAGTTTATATTGTTCTATTATATGGCTATACCATGATTTGTTTTTCCATTCACTTGTTGATCAACACTTGGGTTGTTTTCAGTTTGGGGCTGTTATGAATAAAGCTACTAGAGAATTCTCATATAAGTCTTTGTGAAGATATGTTTTCTTTTTTCTTTTTTAAAGATTTTATTTGGGATCCCTGGGTGGCGCAGCGGTTTGGCGCCTGCCTTTGGCCCAGGGCGCAATTCTGGAGACCCCGGATCGAATCCCACGTCGGGCTCCCGGTGCATGAAGCCTGCTTCTCCCTCTGCCTATGTCTCTGCCTCTTTCTCTCTCTCTCTGTGTGACTATCATAAAATAAATTAAAAAAAAAAAGATTTTATTTATTCATGAGAGACACAGAGAGAGAGAGGCAGAGACATAGGCAGAGAGAGAAGCAGGCTTCATGCAGGGAGCCTGATGTGGGACTCCATCACGGGACTCCAGAACCACGCCCTGAGCCAAAGGCAGGCACTAAACCGCTGAGCCATCAAGGGATCCCCAAGATACATACATGTTTTCGTTTCTCTTGGATAATACCTAAGGATGTAACAGCTGGGTGTTCTGTTTGTATGTTTAACTTCTTAAGAAACTGCCAAAATATTTTCCAACTTTGCTTTTACCACCAGCAACAGCGTTCTATTTGCTTCATATTCTCTTCTACTCTTGGTATTATCAGTCTTAATTTTTGTCATTCCAGTAGAGAACATATCTAGTATGTATGTATCTCGATTACAATTTGCGTTTCGCAAATGGCTAACAGTTTTGAGCATTTTTTCATGTACTTTGTTATCTGTGTATTTTCATTGATAAATTGTCCATATCGTTGGTCCATTTTTAATTGAGTTGTCTTTTACTACTGAATCATAAAAGATGATTATGTCTTTTTTATGTCTTCGACATGTCTTTTGTTGGATATGTTTTGCATTTATTTTCTCCCCAATCTGTAGCTTGAAATCCAGTTTATACACTTCTTTTAATAAATGTACTGTTGAGTGCCTTTAGAAGTATTTGCCTAATTTAAATATTGAGTCTTTCAAACCATGAGAATGGATTATCTTTTGTTTTTTAATTTCTTAGTTAATGTTTTATAGTTTTCAGTGTATGTATCATACATTGTCAGATGTATGTATCCCTATTCAGTAGTTTTTTGATACTGTTGTAAATGGTAGTTTTTAAAATTGTAAATTCTGATTGCTGGTTTATATATTTAAAGAATCCTGTTTATTACTGTTGTGTCCTGAAATCTAGTTAAATTCATTTTTAGTTCAGGTACCTGTTTTTTAATATTTAGCTATTGCCTACATAGACGATTATATCATCTATGAATAAGTACAACTTCTTCCTTTCTAGTCTTTATGCCTTCTATTTCTTTTTCTTGTCTGCATACACTGCAGGCTAGAACCTCTAATACAATTTTGAGTACAAGTCATGAAACCTAAACTTTTGCTTTTAGGAAACTTCCCCTATGCGCTTTTTTTTTTCCTACCCCTGCAGCATTCATGGTCTTAAATCATATTTGAAGTGTTCAAATGGGTTGGAAGAAACAGTATTTAGCAGTTGACTAGTATGCCACTACTATACTATAAGTTAAGATTTGTATTTTGGCCTAAAGAATGTTATAGCCAAGAATGAACTTGTCCTCTATGACCTGTATTTATTGCTGTAATATAATCTGAATGGAGATAATTTGGAATTTGGAATGGAGATAACATGGGTTGCAGGATGAGTTTTATAGGGTAGATGTTGGCTTCAAATAAATGAGACCTTCATGAGAAAACAGGCAAGCCTACCATCAAACACTCTATCATCTTATTCATAATTTTAACAAGAAGTTGCATTTTCTAGCCATGCTATTCTTTAATACTAGGTGACGTCAAGAAAAAGGTACAGTTTTTTATTTAAAGTACCATCTTGTGACATGATAGTTCAATTCATGAGATTAACTATATTGACTAGCTGTTGTTTAGGACCTTCTCTTGTCATATAATGGGAAAAAATTTCTTGAACCAAAGCAATTAGATAGATAAAAGGAAACATTTCTGAGAGAATATTCCAGTCCATTAAATGAAATTCTTGTGTATTCAGAATGATCTGTTTTGCAGATTGCTGCATGCCTAGTAACTCGGGAACCCCCTTCCTAATATTTTGTCAGTTATAAATAAGAGAAAGTAAAAAGAAAGTAGTAGTGAAGAATGTATTTTGGGAAAGGGAGAAAAATTAGAAAGCTATGTTTAAGCCTGAAACTTGTATATGGCATGTGTTATGTATATTTTGCAAACAGATAAGTCAAATGAGGCAGTTGGTTATTCACAGTAATTTGAGGAATTATATTAACTGCTCAAACAAGTAGGCTTATTTGAAATAAAAGTCTGTATTTATTGAACAGGATTTATTTCAGTTATGGTTTCTTAAATGTTATGGAACTGTCTTCCTTTAATAAGCTACTATGGGCAATACCATGGCTCTAAGACTTTTTTCTGATAATATTTCTAGAAGATCATCTCTGTTAGAAAAATAATATTGAGAAACAATTTAGTTACTTGAGAGTTGGCTATAAAAGGTTGAAGTGCTTTGCTGGTGGAAGTGCCTTATTACTAACATAGTATTTTAATTTTATATCTTTCAGGTATTTGGATTTGAACTGCACTTTGGAATTCATCTATACTTAAAATGCCACCAGCAGTTGGAGGTCCAGTTGGATACACTCCCCCAGATGGAGGCTGGGGGTGGGCAGTAGTAGTTGGAGCTTTCATTTCCATTGGATTCTCTTATGCATTTCCCAAATCCATTACTGTGTTCTTCAAAGAAATTGAAAGTATATTCAGTGCCACCACCAGTGAAGTGTCATGGATATCCTCAATCATGTTGGCTGTCATGTATGGTGGAGGTAAGTACTCCCCCAAGGCCTGCTGTTTTAGTCACATTTTTTTCATTCCCATTAACCATAACAACTGTTGCTTTGTTTGTTCCACTATAGTATTCTGAAGCAGAAATGAGAAACTATGAGGAGCTGTGATTTGGTACAACTTGGTATCCTTAAAAAGCTCTCAGAAAAATAACATGTGTACAACTGATTTTTCTTATTGCTCTCTACTAGACTCTTAACGTATAAACACAAAGATTTTTCCTAAATTGATGTTGGGAGAATTAAAGTAAATCAGGCTCACCTGAATAGCATAGTTCAAAGTCCTGTAAAATCTTTTCATGGTGTTAGGATTAAAGAACGAAATAAAATTGTCCCTTTATTCCTTGACGTTATTCGTCCTAAAAGCATGTCAAATGCACCTTAAACTTTCATCATTAAAAAAAAAAAACTTTCATCATTTTTTTCCTTTCTGTTTTTCTTGACATGTTGTAAAGGAAATGTGGAGGGTAATAAGTTGCTCAGTTACCATCATTTAAAATACTATTTGTTTCACCATGGAATATCAAATCACAATGTAACATATAAAAGTTAGAACCTTCCATAATACTTAAAATATATAATTGCTTAGTGAGAGATTCTAAAGCCAAGTGTATTTATTTACTGAGGTTGACTGGTGTCTCCTGTTGCTTAGTTAGCCAAACTTTCACCTCTGTTATGAAAAAAAAGTAGTATTAATACTACTTTTCGGTGGCAATCCAGTATCTCTGATTATTTTCACATGCAGCTCCTTAATAGCCAGTATAAAGTTTCTCTATTTCAACTGTAAAATCTTAACTCTAGGTTTCTAACCTAGTGGCATATTCAACCAATATTAAGTCCTGTGCACATATTTCACACTAGGTTAGATATTGTGATGGAGAACACTTGATCTGATCCCTGCCTTTAGGGAGTTTATAATCCTATTGAGGCAATAACATAAACTCATGAAACAAGAATAAATAATTGAAGTCATAATTTCATTGCACAGAAAAAACAGGTAACTTGGTTGCCTTAGAGGTGAATTAGGTGACTGGGAACAGGAGTGGGTAGACTTAGTTTTTCCACTGTATATCTTTTTATTTTATACCTTTTGAATTCTGTTTTGTCTATTAAGTACTTTGAAGAGAACATAAGTGCTAACTATAGTACTTATTTTATTTTTATAAGTTCAGAAAAATCAAAAGGGACTTTGGATATTATCTAGCTTGAGAGCCAGTGATTTTGGAGGCTTTGAACTCCCATCTGCCAGGATTTTCTAATCAGGTTTTGACTATGATGGCTTGAAGAAATTGGTATGAATATTATCCAGATGTACTCCAGGTGCTCAGTGTATCTTTAAGCTCACTATAAACCAGAGGTTCACATACTGCAATTTGGAGCTGCCAAAGAGCTTGAGAGTCACTTGGATTTTGCATAGAAAGTAAGTGATGTCAGTTGTGCTAATTGCACATGACACTTTCTTTTGGGAAAACAGTTCCTTCTTTGTCCTCACCCAGAGATAACTAGCACATTTCTCTGAATTTGTGTTATAATAGGCCTATGAACTGTACCCCTTTCTATTTTTAATGATAGCTAATTGGGGCCATCCTTCCTGAAATAACTCTGAAAGACAAATTGCCTATGGAGAGCCTTGTGGCAGAATTTTTACTAAATAGGTTATTTTGTTTTGCTTGGCTCCTAAATGGTATATTCCCTTAATAATTATCATCAGTTTTTCAATTGCCATAATTCTGTAATTCATGTATTTGGGCCTCCCCCTCAACACTAACACATTTTGAACTATGAGTGGTTTAGTTTGTTTTTGTTTTTACTTTAGTACTCTGGGTCAGAGATACATACTAATGCTTGTTAGAATGTAAATACATTTTTAGGAGAGGAGATCTCAGTTGCCTATTCTATTTGAGTTTTTCTTGTTTTGTTTTTTTTTTTAAGAAAAATGTAAATTTATTTATTTTCAGTTTCACACTAATGTCTTTAACATTCCTAGTGTAACATTGTAGATGTTATAGTATTAACTTCTACTTCACAGAGTCAGCAGTGTGGCAGTATTTTGATGTTTATAATTCTGAGGATACAGAATCTGTTTCACAAACAATTTATAGGGAAATATTTCATGAATATTCTTTCAGTATTTAATTCTTTCATCTTACACAAATTGTAAATTCAAATTATTTCCAAACCAGCCATGGTCTAATATTTTCATGAAGTGATTGAGAAGGTCAATGAAAACCCCTTTATACATACCCTTGGTTGGGCCTGAAGTCTCTCCTGACAGCCATTTCTTGACCCAGCCCTTAAAGAGACTTAGTCCTCTGATACACCAGGATATCAAAAGGTTTGATTCCTTTTTGTGTGCTTACATAGCATAATTTGAATTTGGGTTCCCTGGGGTCAGAGCTGACCTTTTAGTTGCATCATACTGCAACTTTGAGTATAGTACTAGAATATACTGTAACTGCAGAATTTTCCATAGTGTTTATGGATATAGAACATGTCAACATAAAGTCAATAATACATTCTGAGTATGTACATTCTATATTTGTTTTAAAAAATAGACTGTCTTGTGGAGCTAATTATAGAATGAACAGAATCAGAATTCACTGTGCTAATAGAAGAAAAACATAATTTTTATGTCTTCTGCTTTATAGCTAAGTTCCAAAAATATGGAGTACATGTAATAGGGAGAAAATGGGTTAGATTTGAAACTTGGTGCTCGGTAGCTTCATGCCTTTGCAAAGCTCAGACATCAATTGATTTCCTTGTGTCCCCTTCCCTACTGATGCATAGCAGTACCCTCTGTGTTTGCAGTCATCTGCCTTAACCAGGCAGAAGGCAGACAAGGTATAGTGTCATGTAAACAAAGTTGTTATTCCCATGAGTCCATATCCATGAAGTACAGACATAGGTATATTCTCTTATAAATAAATAAAATGCAATGACTGTCATTTGGTGTAATCAGAAAATATAGTTAGTCTACTTAAGAGTTGTGTTACAGCTTTTATTTTATTTTTTAAGATTTATTTGAGAGAGAGTGAGTGCATGCTCAAGTGAGGGGAGGGGCAAAGGAAGAGAATCTTCTAGCCCACTCCCCACTGAGTGTGGAGCCCCATGCTGGGCTCAGTTTTACCTCTGAGATCATGATGCCAGCTGAAATCAAGAGCTGGACACTCAACTGACTGAGCCAGCCAGGCACCCCATGTTACAACTTTTAAAATACTGTTTGGTTTGGATAAGACTTTCTTATAGTTAATACCTAAAAATTGGGGAAAGGGTAATTACAGCTTATACCTATTTGTGGCAAGTAAGGAGGGGCCATTTAATATTCATTTTGAAAACTAATACATTAAATGCATCAAATCTTTTTCTTCCTGATCCTTTTCTCACATTCAAGATAAACTGTTATTTTGGTATGCATCTTTTTAGCAGAGGAAATTTAATCTGATTTTTCTTAGATAACACTCTATTTCCTATCTTGAGTTGTTAGACCCAAGATACTTTGACCATTATTTGACTTCATCTCCTGCAAGCTTTTTTTCATAGTATTGCTACCGTGAAACAGTAAGATAGGCATGGAACCAGGTTAACTCTAAAAGAAATATTCAGTGCAGTACCTGAGACATCTAGATGTAACTGGGAACAGATTTTTTGGTGGTTTTTTTTTTTTTAATTTAGATTTCCTAATTGCAAAACTATTTAAACTTGGAAAAATAATTATGTATTTTTCAGGGTTTTTTTTCTTTTTAAAAAATATGACACAAACTACATTTATGTTAATGTATAAGTAATACTCTAATATCAGAGTGTCTGTTCAAAAATTAAAACAGGGCAAACTTAACTAAATAATGTTCCTCATACCCTAGATACATCAACAAGCCTATGAACATCCATTACCAAGGTATTTTTAGCCAGTTCTGCCTTAGAAGAGAAAGATTAAAGAGAACCAGAGTCTTATATCTTAATAAAACTCCATCCAATGTTTATAAAGATACACAGTGATGTTTTTTAGCATCTTTATTTTCTAATGCACATACCTTTGACTATGAAATATAGAAAGCAATATTCTTACTATTTTTTTTGGTTTCTATCTGTTTATTTTATTTTTTTTTAATTTTTTAATTTTTATTTATTTATGATAGTCAGAGAGAGAGAGAGAGAGGCAGAGACACAGGCAGAGGGAAAAGCAGGCTCCATGCACCGGGAGCCCGACGTGGGATTCGATCCCGGGTCTCCAGGATTGCACCCTGGGCCAAAGGCAGGCGCTAAACCGCTGAGCCACCCAGGGATCCCTCTATCTGTTTATTTTGAAGGACTTGTCATTTAATGGGAGTGCTTTGCAGATATGAGGGAGTTGGTTCCTTTCCTCTCTGCTACTAAATTTCTGGTTCTCAGGATGCCTGGGTAGCTCAGTGGTTGAGATCTGCCTTCAGCTTAGGGCGTAATCCCAGGATCTAGGATAGAGTCCAACATCAAGCTCTTTGCGGGAAGCCTGCTTCTCCCTCTGTCTGTGTATCTGCCTCTCTCTCTGTCTCATGGATAAATAAATAAAATATATTAAATTCATTCATTCATTCATTCATTCATTCTGGTTCTCTCTAGGTCCCATCAGCAGTATCCTGGTAAATAAATATGGCAGTCGTCCAATCATGATTGTTGGTGGATGCTTGTCAGGCTGTGGCTTGATTGCAGCTTCTTTCTGTAATACTGTTCAGGAACTTTATTTATGTATTGGAGTCATTGGAGGTGAGTTACTGTTGATTCATTTTCAAGCATTAATTTATCGCTGGCTATTTGATATTCGTTTAACAGTCATCTTTCAGATCTTTTGGGTGAAATTCCTTCCTTATAGAAATGACTTGATTATCATTTTGAGGAGCTATAAATACACTAAACGGTACTAGAAAAGCAAACTTTTAAAAAAATTGTCATACAGTGGGTGTTCATTGTTGAGTGAATGAATAATGAAAGATGATTGCATCCCCTGTCCTAAAACTAGTCCATGATGGTAGGTAAAATGTGTCTGGCAGTTTGTTGCAAGGGTGATCATTGGTTATTTTGCTTTCTCATTACTTCTTCCTCCCACAGAGAATAGGCTTCTGCTGGAGCAGGAGAGAGTATAAAATATAAAGCAGGAATTACCTGGCAGAATGTCCAAATACATTTCTGAGGGATAGAAGATCTACTTCATAATACCTCCCTCCTTTTTTGATAGCCCAATTAAAAACTGCTGATGCATATAATAGATTACTCATAACTTCATAATCCAGAGAACATGACTATTGACATTTTGTTGTATATCTTTCCATACTTCTTCCTGTGAACAAACATAAAAAATGATCAGATTATGTTTTGTAACCAGTTTTTCACTTAATGAGATACCATGAACATCTTTCCATGTCATTAAATATTCTGATAAGATTTTTTTAATCTCTGTAATTCCATTGAATAGATAATGTATGATAGGTTTTTTTAGTAAGTTCTATTACAAATGTGGGGCTTGAACTCACAACCCCAAAATCCAGGGTTCCCATGCTATACTAAATGAGCCAACCAGGTACCTCAATACATACCGTAATTTTATTTGACCAGTCTCATAGTTAATTGTTCAATATTTAGGGTTTTGTTTCTGATTTTTTACATTTTCTTTTTATTTTTATTTATTTATTTTTTATTTTTTACATTTTCTTAATGTTAGTGTTGCGTTGATGATCCTTTGTGAATATGAATATTTTCTTAGGATAACTTTATAGAAGTGGAACTGCTGTGTTTTTAAAAAATTACGCATGAGCTAAGTTGCTCTCTAGAAAGATCATGCTCACTTACAGTTCCACCATAATGTGAGGGGGGAATACAGCCTTGACCACAATGGAATATTATCTTTTTTAATCATTGCCAGTTTAATAGGTGAATAGTATTTCCTGGTTTTATTTTTTTATTTTATTTTTTAAGATCTTATTTATTCATTCATGAGAGAGAGAGAGAGAGAGAGAGAGAGAGAGAGAGAGAGAGGCAGAGACACAGGCAGAGGGAGAAACAGGCTCCATGCAGGGAGCCCGATGTGGGACTCAATCCCGGGTCTCCAGGATCACGCCCTGGGCTGAAGACAGCGCTAAACCGCTGAGTCACCAGGGCTGCCCTATTTCCTGGTTTTAATTTAAATCTCTTTGATTATTGGGAAGTAAATATTTTTAATACATTTGTGGCAATGTATTTGGGTTTTTTTCTTTATTGTCTCTGCACAATATGCTTTTTTTTTTAAGTGTTTATTTATTTGAGAGAGAGGGAGAGAGTGAGCATGGGGGGCAGGGGAGAGGCAGAGGGAGAAGCAGATTCCCCACTGATCAGGGAGCCCCACTCAAGGCTCAATCCCAGGACTCTGAGATCATGACTGGAGTGGAAGGCAGATGCTTAACCGACTTGAGCCACAGGCACCCCTGTACAAAATGCTTATTGACTGCTTTTGTGTACTTATTTAAAAATAATGTGTGATAGCTTTACATATTAAATTATTATCCTTTTGCATAAGACAGTTATTTTTTTCCAAAATTTTTTTACATTTAATTGTGGTAAAATACATATAAAACTTAACTATTTAACATCTTTTAAGTGTTCAGTTCAGTGGTATTAAGTATATTCACATTGTTATGGCAACCATTTCCACCATCAATTTTCAAAACTGTTTCATCTTATAGAACTGAAACTCTGTCCCCATTAAACAGTAACTTCCCATTCCTCCTCCCCCCAAGTATCTATTCCCAATTAAATTTTTTCTGTTGAATTTTGTTTGAAAGAAAAATTTTTAATTTAGCCTCATTCCACTTTTTCCCTTCTTCATGTATAATTTCAGATATTGAAAACTCAATCCTTTGTGATTTTTGTCTCATATATCATTATCACAAGGTTATTCTACACTCTAAGATTATGAATATATTTGCCTACTTTTTTTAAATTGTGTTTTAATTCCAGTGTAGTTAACATAGCATTATATTAGTTTCAGGTATACAATCTAGTGATCTAGGGACGCCTGGGTGGCTCAGTGGTTAAGCATCTGCCTTCAGTTTAGGTCATGAACCCGGGATCCTGGGATCGAGTGCTGCATCTGGCTCCTCGCAAGGAGCCTGCTTCTCCCTCTGGCTGTGTCTCTGTCTCTCTATGTCTCTCATGAATAAATAAATAAAATCTTTAAAAAAACAAAATCTAGTGATCCAGCAATTCCATATATCAATCTGTGCTCATCAAGATAAATGTATTCTTAATCTCCTTCACTTATTTTGCCCATCCCACCACACCTCTCCCCTTATTCTCTATAGTTAGAGACTGGCATTTTTTTAATTTGTCTTCCCCTCCCCCTCCTTTGTTCATTTGTTTTGTTTCTTAAATTCCACATAAGTGAAATCATATGCTATTTGTATTCTTTGACTGGCTTATTTAACACAGCATTATACTCTCTAGGTCCATCCATGTTGTTGCAAATGGCAGGATTTCATTCTTTTTATGACTAAATAATATTCCATTGTACAAGCGCATCTGGGTGGCTCAGTTAAGTGGTTGAGCATCCAACTGTTGGTTTTAGCTTGGGTTGTGATTTCAGGGTGCTGGGAATGAGCCCTGCCTTAGGCTCCGTGTGCATCGGGGAGTCTGCTTGAGATTCTCTTCCTCTCCCTCTGCCCCTTCCCCTGCTCACATGCATTCCTTGAGCATGTGCATGCTCTCTTTAAAGTAAATAAATAATTCTCTTTTTTTTAAATAAATAATTCTTAACAAAAATAATATTCCATTGTATATGTGTACACCACATCTTCTTTATCCATTCACCAATCAGTGGACACTTGGATTGCTTCCATAATTTGGCTATTGTAAATAATGCTGCAGTAAACATCAGGATACATATATCCCTTTGAATTGATAGTTTCATCTTCTTTGGGTAAATATCCAGTAGTGGAATTACTGGATCATGTGGTAATCCTATTTTTAATTTTTTATTCTTTTTTTTTCAGGATTTTATTTATTTTTTCATGACATACACAGGCAGAGACATAGGCAGAAGAAGAGACATCGTGGGCAGAAGGATCCCACGATGTGGGATCACAACGTGAGCCAAAGGCAGATATTCAACCACTGAGCCACCCAGGCATCCCTCTATTTTTAATTTTTTGAGGAACCTCCATACTGTCTTCCACAGTAGCCACTGTGCGTGCATTCCCACCAACAGTGAACAAGGGTTCCTTTTTCTCCACATCCTCACCAACACTTGTTTCTTGAGCTTTGGATTTTAGCCATTTTGACAAGTATGAGGTGATATCTCAGTGTAATTTAATTTGCATTTCCCTGGAGATGAGTGATGTTGAGCATCTTTTCATGTGTCTGTTGGCCATCGGTATGTCTTCTTTAGGGAAATGTCTATTAATGTTTTCTGCCTGTTTTTAAATTGGATTATTTGGTGTGTGTATGTATGTTATATAAGTTCCTTATATATTTTGGCTACTAGCTCTTTATTGGGTATGTCATTTGCAAATGACAAATTGTTTTGTTGTTTCCTTTGCCATGCAGAAGGTTTTTGTTTTGATGTAGTCCCAATAGTTTCTTTTTGCTTTTGTTTCCCTTGCCTCAGGAGACATATCTAGAAAGATGTTACAGCTGATGTCAGAGAAATTTATGGCTTCAGGTCTCACATTTAGGCCCTTAATTTATCCTGAGTTTATGTTTGTGTGTAGCATAAGTGATCCAGTGTCATTCTTTTGCATGTAGTTGTCCAGTTTTCCCACCACCATTTCTTAAAGATACTGTCTTCTTCCCTTTCCATATTCTTACCTCTTTTGTCAAAGATTAATTGACCATATAAATGTAGGTTTATTTCTGGGCTTTCTATTCTGTTCCATTGACCTATGTGTCTATTTTTGTACTTGTCTCTTACTGTTTTGATTACTTCTGCTTTGTAGTATACTTGAAATCTGGAATTGTGATACCTCCAGCTCTGTTCTTTTTCAAGATTGCTTTGGCTATTTGGAGGTTTGTTGTAGTTCCATACAAATTTTAAGATTATTTGTTCTAGTTCTATGAAAAATGCTATTGATATTTTGATAGGGATTGCATTTAATCTGTAGATAGCTTTGGGTAGTATGGATATTTTAACAATATTTGGAGGTTTGTTGTAGTTCCATACAAATTTTAAGATTATTTGTTCTAGTTCTATGAAAAATGCTATTGATATTTTGACAGGGATTGCATTTAATCTGTAGATAGCTTTGGGTAGTATGGATATTTTAACAATATTTGTTCTTCCATTCCATGAGCATGGAATGTCCTTCCATTTGTTACATTTGCCTACTTTCAAATATATGCCCCCCCTTTTTTACATTTAAAACTTCTGAATTGAAGGAAAGATTTTACATAAAATGAGAAGAAATGTAAAACTCTGTTTCTCAAATATTTGTGGACAACCATGTGTGTTATCAAGCAGTGTTCAAGATGTTGTTGGGAATAGAGCAACAACTATGGCTAAATCATATTCTTTCATGGGAGGGGACAGACAGTACTACTCACAAATGTATGAATAAATAGGAAAAATACCCGGTAGTGACAATGCTATACAAAGCGGCAAAACAAAATGTTCTGACTGGTAAGGACTTGGGTAATCTACAAAGGTAGGTCACTCTGAAGAGATGACCTTAACTAAGAGATTTGAATAGCAACAAGGAACAAGCTTTGTGAAAATTTAGGGGAACTGGGCAACCTGGGTGGCTCAGAGATTTGGTGCCTGCCTTCAGCCCAGGAGTCCAGGATTGAGTCTAGGAGTCCCAGGATCGAGTCCCACGTCGGGCTTCCTGCATGGAGGCTGCTTCTCCCTCTGTGTCTCTGCCTCTCTCTGTGTGTGTCTCATGAATTTAAAAAAAAAAAATCTTAAAAAAAAATTAGGGGAACCTAAGCCCCAGGTCAACAGCATGCTTATTGGCGTAGGTGAGAATAGAATGATCTGGTATCAGATGAAGAATGGGAGGTGTAAGGGCCAAGGTAAAGGTTATGGATGGGAAGCCATTAGCAGGCTTGAAATAGGGGAGTGATCTGCCCTTGTGTATAGGCTTAAGCCTCTCTAAGTAGCTTAAACATAATTGGTAGGGAGCAGGAACAAGCAGGGGCCAGGAAGAGCATCTAGAAGTTTATTTACTTTTACTAGCAATGTTTATTGAATAATTCTTTCTACAGTAATTTAAAATTTCACTTGTACATTAAATGTTTTATATACATACATATATATATAAAATCAGATATGTTCATGACTTTCTGTCCATTTTTACTGATCAGAGTTTATCTCTCCCTGAGTCAGAGCCACACTGTTGTAATGATTGTAGCTTTTGGAAGTCTGTTTAAAATATCTGTTAATGTCTGTCACACTCTTCCTATAGCACCAAAAATTTCCTTTTTGACTCCCATGCATTCTCTAAGTATGTTTCAGAGTCATTTTACCTATTCCAAACTGAAATGCACTGACATTTTCATTGGAATCACATTAAATTAATGCATTCATTTGGGGAGTACCGATGTCTTGACAATGCTGTGTTTTATTTTCCAAAAACTGTGTGTGTGTGTTTTCTTTCTTTCTTTTTTTTTTTTTTAATTATTTATTCATGGGAGACAGAGAGAGAGGCAGAGAGGCAGAGACACAGGTAGAGGGAGAAGCAGGCTCCATGTAGGGAGCCTGATATAGGACTCAGTCCCCAGACTCCAGGATCATGCCCTGAGCCAAAGACAGGCACTAAACCGCTGAGCGGCCCAGGGATCCCCTCTATGTTTCCTTTTTTAATTCTTTGACTCTAAATTTAGGAAAGTTACACAATTGTAGTGATTAATTTTTTTTTTTTTTTTTTTTTTTACTTTTTGGTGCTATTGTAAGAGGAATAATTTTGTATTGTATTTTCTGTTGTAAAACTTTTGTCTCTCGTTCGTAACTACTTCATGATGATCTATTGTTACAATGATTCATCAGGTGATTCTGTAAGGTGAGACAAATAGTTATTCACTTTCAAATAATATAAGCAACAATAATAAAAATAACATTTATTGAGTGCTTACTACATGCCAGATACTCTAATAAGTGTTTTACTATATTTTACTCACAGTCACACTGTGTGCCCCTTCTACATATTAAGAAACACATGTCTGATATTACCAGCCAGTAAGTACTGAAGCTGAGATTTGAAATCACATAGTCTAGTTTTAGATCCCACACTTTATTTTTTTTAAGATTTTATTTATTTATTAATGAGAGAGAGAGAGAGAGAAGGTAGAACACAGGCAGAGAGAGAAGCAGGCTCCATGCAGGAAGCCTGACGTAGGACTCGATCTAAGGACTCCAGGATCACACCCTGGGCCAAAGGCAGCCACTAAACCACTGAGCCACCCAGGGATTCCCAGATCCCACACTTTAAACCACTATATAGTATGTCCTGTAGTGGTAAGGATTTTTGTCTCCTTTGCATTATTTTTACCTCTTATTTTAATTTCTTTGGTTAAGTAGTTTCAAATATGTTTCTGACATTTATGTGATTCTTTTCCTCCCACTTCCCCAGGTCTCGGGCTTGCCTTCAACTTGAATCCAGCTCTGACAATGATTGGCAAGTATTTCTACAAGAGGCGACCGCTGGCAAATGGACTGGCCATGGCAGGCAGCCCTGTGTTCCTCTCTACTCTGGCTCCCCTCAATCAGGCTTTCTTTGGTATTTTTGGCTGGAGAGGAAGCTTTTTAATTCTTGGGGGCCTCCTACTAAACTGCTGTGTAGCTGGAGCCCTGATGCGACCAATAGGGCCGCCACCAACCAGTGCAGGGAAAGATAGGTCTAAAGAATCCCTTCAGGAAGCTGGAAAAGCTGACGAGAAAAAGGGAGGTGATGCAAATACAGATCTTATTGGAGGAAACCGCAAGGAAGAGAAACGATCAGTCTTCCAAACAATTAATAAATTCCTGGACTTATCTCTGTTCACACACAGAGGCTTTTTGCTATATCTCTCCGGAAATGTGCTCATGTTTTTTGGACTGTTTACTCCTTTGGTCTTTCTTAGTAATTATGGCAAGAGTCAACATTACTCTAGTGAGAAGTCTGCCTTCCTTCTTTCCATTCTGGCTTTTGTTGACATGGTAGCTAGACCTTCTATGGGACTTGTAGCCAACACCAAGTGGATAAGACCTCGAGTTCAGTATTTTTTTGCGGCTTCTATTGTTGCAAATGGAGTGTGTCATCTGCTAGCACCTTTATCCTCCAGCTACATTGGGTTCTGTGTCTATGCGGGCTTCTTTGGATTTGCATTTGGATGGCTCAGCTCAGTGTTGTTTGAAACACTGATGGACCTCGTTGGACCTCAGAGGTTCTCCAGCGCCGTGGGACTGGTGACCATTGTGGAATGCTGTCCTGTACTCCTGGGGCCACCACTTTTAGGTATAGTATGCCTTACTACCTCTTTGGTTCTGTTAACATTAAACAGGCATAGAAGATGGAAAAGGTAATAGAAAACAGAGATTAGTGAACTGCTTGGTGGCAGAGAACATTTCTCATTTTCTCATTTCTGTAGCCTCACTGTTGGCACAATGGTTGGCACAGCATAATTGCTCGGATTCTTAACAGAATTGAAAATATATTGAACCATCAACCTGAAAGAGGAGTCAAATGTTCTTACAAATGGCATTCTTTTTGAAATATGTTTTGTCTTCAGAAAACTTAGTGTGCTTGTTGTAGAAAAACATGTAAAATACAACTCTATCTCTGATAGTAGCTCCCATGTAAGCTCATGGTTTACCAGCAACTGTTTTACTTTGTGTATCCTCATGTCTTACAAGCCTATGAAAGAGGACTGTCACAGTTCCTACTTCATAAGAACTAGAAACTTCGAAAGGTTAAATAATTTGCCTTATATCACATGGCTAGTAAGGGAGTATATAATTTGGGAACTGTTTCCTAAGATCATTAATACTTCATCTTTTGAATTAATAGCTCATTAGATAACATTAGTGAAAATATAATTTGGCCTTCCTTTTATTTATTTTTTTTAAGATTTTATTTATTTATTAATGAGAGACATGGAGAGAGAGAGAGAGAGGCAGAGACACAGGCAGAGGGAGAAGCTGGCCCCATGCAGGGAGCCCCATGCGGGACTTGATCCCAGGATTCCAGGACCATACCCCGGGCCAAAGGCAGGTGCCAAACCGCTGAGCCACCCAGGGATCCCCTGGCCCTCCTTTTAGATGTATACTTTTTGGAAGTATGATTTGGCTAGTGAGTGAGGATACATAAAAGAAAAGTCCTACAGCTGTCTTTTGATTCTGCTCTCTTCCTCCCCATATCTAGTGATTGCCCCCAAGTCTTGTCAGTTTTCACCTCCTAAATCTCTTTCTAATCAGCCCACTTTTCCATCACAACACCACCCTGTCCACAGCTCCTGTCTCCCATATGGGCTGCTCCAGTAGCCTCCTAGCTGCTCTACCCAAATCCACTCTAGCCAGCCTTCAATCTGTTTTCTTCTCTGCAGGCAAAATTATCTGCAAATACAAACCTGATAGCCCAGCTGCTTAGATCTTTCCAGTCGCTTCCCATTGTCCTTAGGGTGGAGATCAGATTCCCTCTAGTGGCCTACAAGGCGCCCCCCAACCCCCACCCCAACCTGGCCACCTGTCTCTCCAGCCTCATTTCCTGTCACTCACCTTTTGTTCTCTCTGCTCCAGCAATCCTGCCCTTCCTCCTTCCCCTCTCCCACCCCAGCTTCCCACCACCTGCCTTTGCACTTGCTGTTCTCTGACCGCATCCTTCTCCCATCGCCTCCTCCTGGATAACTCCCATCCCCCTCTAGGTCTCTGCTTCATTTGCACTTTAAGAGAAGCCTCCCTGACCCTGCTGGCGGCTCCCAACCCCCCATTTTCTGTTTTCAAGCCCTCCTTGTCACAGTTTGTGTAGTGATTTGATTAACATTTCTCTTGTCCACTGAACTGTGGATGTTTGCTCCTCTGCTCTCCCTTATCCTCAGGGCCAGCAGCCCAGTGCCTGGTGCATGTGCAGGCTCAAATAAGTATTGCTGGATGACCAGTGCCCTGAGTTAGAAAAGCACAAGGAATCGTATTGGAATGGGTTATATTCAGTCTTCTCTTAGGTGGAGAGTAAGGTTGTATGTTATTCCTTAACATACCAATTTGATGAGATGGTAACAAGGGATTTCATGGCCAAAAACATTTTGGAAACACCAAGTCTGATAGATATTTCTACTAGAGGACCTTGCAAAACCTTTAATATGCTAATGACGTGAATCTTCACTAGAGAAGAATATGAGAAGCCATTTCCTAAGTCTGACTTCAGATTTCATTACCTTCAAGTTGCTAGAAATAACAGGATATGCAAGGCCATCTAAAATCAAATGTCACATCATAAAAGATGTAAATTTTAGCAGTTCCTTTTTAGACAAATTCATCATTTGTGGGCTCTTTGACTATTGGTTTTCATCTTCTTTCTGAGTGGATCCTTAAGTTTTATTTGGGGAAGGTATACTTGTTACTTTTGCCCACATAACTTTGTTTTGGATATCTTAGGTCATCTGAATGACATCTATGGAGACTACAAATACACCTACTGGGCATGTGGTGTGATCCTAATTATCGCAGGCATCTATCTCTTCATTGGCATGGGCATCAATTATCAACTTGTGGCCAAAGAGCAGAAAGCAGAGAAGCAGCAGAAAAAGGAAAGTAAAGAAGAGGAGACCAGTGTAGATGCTGCTGAGAAGCCGAAAGAATATGCATCAGAATCTGCAGAGCAGAAAGACACAGAAGGAAGTCCCAAAGAGGAGGAAAGTCCAGTCTAAACCTGTGAGGCCTGAGGGTCAGTGCAGCAGCCGTGATCAAGATACCTGTAAATATACTGGCCTGTAATCCAGCAGTGGTGCTCATTGCCAATAGTGGACATGTGTGGGAATCGTATCAGGTGTTCATTGATGGAATTTTTGTTTCACTCCTTACCAGTAGCCTGAATTAAAAATGCCATACCTGTGGGGAGGGAGTGATTGGCAAAAAATGAGAGAAGGAAGTAGTGTGGGGTTTTTTTGTTTGTTTTTTTAAATCCTAGCTTTTAACAGTGTCCAAAAGATTATAATATGTGCCTTAAGTTTTAGTCTTTAGAACTCTTTAGGGAGCCTTAACTTTTTAAACCATTCTGCTGAATGCTATTTTAGGTGTTAGGTTAATAAGGAAAAATAACAACTAACTTGTTTGAGGCAAATCTAAAATTTAAAATTAACCTTCATTGTTATTTGTATTATCGTGTCAGACATCATCACTGGAAGATTTGTGAATAGAAATATTGGTTGGAAGTTGGGATTATAAAATCCTGACTAAAATATTTTCCTCTCATCAGTAGTTGCCTAGATTCGTGCCTGGTAGCTATATATTTAGGAAATTTAAGGCGCAAAACTTTGGAAACATCTTAGCTGTTCTAGATACATTGTACTCGTCAGCACCCCTCTGGAATCTTTTCTTGGGATGCTAATATTATTAGTGCTTGAGAATTTATATCATTAAATTACTATTTTCTCTTTTCAAAGACATTTTGAGTGGTTATAAACCATTGCCCCCTTTGAAATCACTTAATATTTTTCACTGTAAAAGTTAACTTTAAAATATGGAAAACCATATATTTGTGCATCTGTAGTGAATACAACACATCTAGTTAAATGTAGATAAATATTTCATACAGCAGCAGAATTCAGCTTCAGTTTTACCAAAACCTCAGTTAAACTATGAGACTTAGATTTTTTGTTGTTGATTTTCCTGGAGTTCTCCCCCATTAATTCATAGTGGTTCCATTTATATCTGGGTCTAGCTTAGAGCTGTGTGTGAAATATTCAATCTTTGTGTGTTTTTGTTGTTTTTTTTTTTAAATGTTTGCTAATTAAAGCCAGAGCAATTTGGCCCCAGGCAAACCAACGAAGATAAGATTGGGAGGGAAGTTTCTCCTTTTCTTTTTCTGAGAAGGCCTGGAAAAAAATTAGGTCTTGCTTATAATTATTGGACACATTCTTATTACTCCACACAAACATAAAGATATTCTGACCCTTTTTACTTATTTGAAAAATAGAGAAGTGGGCTTAGTAGAAGGATAGGGAGATTGGACCAGAATGAAATCTGTAAATATTTTTTAAACTAGTATCTTTTAAAATGCACAAGAAGATAATGATAGACACTCAGTAAATTATATTCAGTGCATTTTAAAATATCATTGTAATTGAAACAGTGAAAGTATAGGTATAAAAACCTTTTGTGTAAGAGGCTGGCTTTTCCAAATAAACTTTTTTTTTCTTTTTTTAAAGAAATGTTTCTCCCTCCAAATGTTTATTCTCTTGAGAAAATATTTCTGTGTCTTCATTATCAAATTAATTTGGCCCTTGCTAATATTAAATCATTCAGCTTATATACTGTGGGAACTGTGTATATGGCTTATTTTTATTTTTCTTTGTTCCTCCTTTAAGTCCATGAAGAGGGGGATTTTGAAATCACCTCTCTGAAAGCATCCAAAGCAGTTAACCTTAAAGGATACAATGAAAACTCCTTTCTATGCCTGAATGTCATGGCAGATGGAGAAGGAATTTTAGGGGAGAAGCCTGCTGTGACTGTTGGCAGGCTTGGCTCCAATTGGGATTCTGCCGTTTTCCATAGACCAGAGCCCATAACCTTTATGTGCCTCTCTCCCCTTCCACAAAAATGAGGATCACTGTCCATGAGGTAATATAAGTAAAGGAAATGGGAAAGGGGCATGGGGTGGAGGAGGAGAAGTACAGGATTATTTTTCCTTGTAGGAGAGGAAAACTTTTCCCTTCTTTCTCAGTTCTTTGGATGGCCTAATAATTAAACTGACATAAGACAGGTAAGATAGGAGAAAATTTTCATTTCATACATACAGGAACTTCACAGAGACACGAGAAGGCCAAAAACCGGCAACTGAGGTTTGCAAGCCATCTGAAGCTAAAGAGAGGAGGGGGGCAGGGGTCTGCGGCTTCACAAGGAATAAAGACAATTTACAGGAAGATGGGAAAAGCAAATGTTTGGTAAACCATGCCAGGCAGAGAAGTCTTCTGTAAAAAAATATTTTTTTTAATTATCCTTTGTAATACTACTCTCTTCCTGGTACAGGCTCCCTACCTAAATTCTTCTAGGCAGTTACAAGGGAGGTAAAAAGCTCTTCTTCAGTCTGTTAGGCATTTGACTGCCTTTAGCTCAAATAACCCACATGTCCAAGTGGCACATTTTGAGGCAGCCCTGTCCTGAACCCCATCACCCCCATCCCCATTGTTGAGCTATGTCCATACCTAAGACCCTGCTTAATCTTTTTTCAATAGTTGAATCTTGTTAGTGAAGGGTTAAAAACTGATTCAAAGCTGGAATTAAGCCTTCTATTGACCAGTCCAACCCTGACTTTTTCCCCTGAAGAGGCAGGATTAAAGTATTACTCAGGATCAGTTTTGGTAACAGCCAACACTAAAACCCAATATAGGCCCACTGTGTGCCATCTATTTCTTGTTAACAAGGAATTGTTGGTTATGTTCAACAATGGAAAGGTGGGTGGACTTTCTGATCCAATCTATTGTCCTTTACTCCACACGAGGACTAAATTTTCTTCCAATTCACACAGTGTCAGTGGCTGCTTTGGAAACACAGATGTATGCAAAGAGCACCCACCAGCTTTGTTTTCTCTGTGTCCCACATCTTCCATAGGTCACAGGGCCTAAAAAAAAGGCTTGGCATACTTCAAGAGTATACTCTGAAACAGGCTCCCAAGCCAAAGCTGGAAAACTACTTAAACTGATAGGCTGGACAACTACAGATGATCATAGTGACAAGACTGTATTATTGTGCTGTAGTGCAGTCTGCTGATGATTTACCTTAACTAGTTATAAATAATTTCTACAAAATATTCAGGAAAGCATGGTGGTAGAAACAAATTATGGAAAATTCAGAGGTGTTTTTATCCCTATTTAGTCACATTGGTAACTAATCCTTTGAATTCTTGGGTTGTCTGAATTTAGTTTATGTTTGTACCATAGATACATATGTCAATATTAATCCTGTATTTTAAAAAGGAAAAAAGTTTGTTAAAAGCCATTTAATATTTTTGTATGAACCAGTGTTTTACTGTATTGAATTTGATTGATAAAATGGGTACTGATTTGTATGAAAAACCTAAATGTCTGGGTTTTACCCAGCAATGGTTCACAAACCTAATAATCAGGACCCCCCCACCCCCATTTTGCTCGGAAAGATGAGGAAAAGTGAACCGTAAATTTCCACCTTTGCAACATGGCTTGTCTTAATAATAATCAGGTCAGACATTTGCCTAGAAGAGATGAAGAAAGAGGTTAATGACAGACTTGTGTCGATATGAAAATTCTTTCAGTTCTTGACAGGAAGGGACAGCCCAAGCTTGCTTGGCTTGCCCAGATGTAAGCAATTAAGCCAAGTTGCTTCAGAGTTTAGAAGCATTTAGGGGGTTTCAAGTATGTACTTGAAACACATTTCTGAAATGTGTTCTAGCTTTAGCATTTTAGATTCAGTGACCCCCTTTTCCCCCCATTCAGTCAGGGCCGTAGTGACAGAACCATTCAAATGACAGTGATTGGAAAAGGTACCATGTCTGTGTGTGGATTATCTTTTGAGCTGAACAGCACCGATTTACTTCATTTTGCTGACTTTTACCCTGAGTTGCCTGGGGGAGACTGGGATAGCTAGCAATGGAATCCCAGACAGCTGGTTGCTTAACAGTATAGGCCACCTGGGTTCAAACAGGCTGTGTGACCTCAAACAAGTTACTTAGTCTTCATAAGCATCAGTAAGATGTTAATAATTAGTACCAACCCACCCCCAGGGTTATCAGGAAGTTTAGTTGATATGTGACAGCTTGTTAAATAAGAGCTTCATAAGTGTAAATTATCAAATTCTTTTGATCAGATCCTCCTTTTACTCTTATAAACATAATGGTCTTTGGTCAACTGAGTGGATGAAATGAACAGTTTATGAGGATGGTGCATACGTGTCCAGCTCTTTGAGCAAGAGAGATGTGAATCCCAAAACCCTTGCTCCTGCTGCTCTAACAGTGCGCTATCTCCAAGGAAGAGAGGACCAACTAGGTGCAGAAAAACATTTCCTCTCAAAGAAATAAAACTAGCAGCCAATCATGATTAAAGTTGTCCCTAGCAATGTGCTTAAATGCAAATTGAAAACCTCATGATGTTTTTTCAATACTACGTTGATAACATGATTTAAATTATAAGTTATCAGTTGGTGGCTGAATAAATTGGTATTTAGCATACTGAGCAATTACATGATGCTCGTCAAGTGCCATGAGTTCACATCTAAGAATTCCAGATTTGAATTTATATAAGAAAAATGTCTGTCTTTGAAATTGTCAGTTTCTTTGAAAAACCCTAAAGTGTGTATCAGTAACTATTTAAATGGGTGGTTATGATGTCCTTATGGCATAAACATGGCACAATGTTAAAAAAGCAGAACACAAACTACTATGATACATGTCTCTCTACGTTATATATACATGTATATAATGCATATATGCACCTGCACGACAGGGGAAAGAACATACACAAATAGGCTAATCATTTTGTGGCTAGTAAAATTAGAAGTGACTTTTTCTATATTCTAAGTTTCTTAATGTGATGGTAACTTTTACACTAAAAGAAAACATTTAATGTAGCACATAATACTGGTTTGCAGAGGGAAAAAAATAGTACAGTTCTAGAAGCGTTCTGGCAAGAAACACGACTCCTCAGAAAATTATGCTAATGATTATAAGCAGGTTATTTTTTTCCTGCTTCAAGAGTTGCACCTGGTGAAAGGGTGGTGCATGAGACATGGACTCAAGAGCACAGTAGTCTCAAGTCATTCTCCTGGTGCTGGACCAGAGCTGTGGAACATAGAGTCCGTGGGCCACCTGTGCTGGCCTGCAGGGCTACCTTCCTGGAGACCGAGCTCTTGGGGAGAGCATTTCTATGGTTCCCCCTCTGATCATCATTTAGCTGCAAGTGGATGTTTAACTCAGAAAGCCAGAACATTCAGCTCACAGTGTTGCAGTCTTAAACATTATCTTACTGGAATCAGCATCAGAAAAAAAAGCACTGCACTGATGTCACAAAAAGGAGTAGAATTTGCTTGCCCACATAGCTGGCATTTATTTACCAGCGAATATTTACTGGGCATTTACTATGTCCCAGGTATTGTTCTAGGCTTTGAGAATCCAACCATGAGCAAAGCACAAAAGGTCTTCGCATGCATCTTACATTCTAGTAGGAGACAGTGAGCTCTGTTATAAGGAAAACAGTATTTTGGGTTTGTTTGTTTTTTCAGCATCTATGTGCTTATGTGCTGAATAGAGGAGGTAACTGAACAAAATTTTGTTCCTGGCACCCACAGCTTCTAGTCTAGCAGGTAGGGCTGTGTAGTGAGTGTTGTGGTAGGGCAGCACATGGAGAATTCTTTAACCCAATCTCCAGAGGGCCCTGAAAAGGAAAATATATTCTTGAGCAAGTTAATTTCTCTGAGACTCTTTGGTAAAATAAACATAAAATTAAAAAAACAAACATCTCTGGGAAATGAACTAGGGGTGGTGGAAGGGGAGGAGGGCGGGGGGTGGGGGTGAATGGGTGACGGGCACGGAGGGGGACACTTGACGGGATGAGCACTGGGTGTTATTCTGTATGTTGGTAAATTGAACACCAATAAAAATTAATTTATAAAAAAAAAAAACATGAAATTGTGAGGATTAAGTGTGAAAGTACCATGCATTCTGCTGAGTGTATAGTTGCATTACACTGAGCTCATAGTGTTAAAAATTAAATACCGGGGTTCCTGGGTGGCTCAGTCAGTTGAGTGTCTGACTCTTAATTTTGGTTCAGGTCGTGATCTCAGAGTCATGAGATCGAGCGCATTGTGCTCAGCAAGGAGTGTGCTAAGGATTCTCTGTCTCCCTCCTCTGCTCTCTCTCAATCAAATAAATAAATCTTAAAAACAAACAAACAAAAAAAACAAATAGCAAGTGTCCATGAAGTTATAACCACAACAACAAGGAATAAAGAACAGCCGGTAACATTGGTATAGCCAGTCAGAGTTTTCAAAGGCCTTTCAAGTACATTCTGTCATCTGAATCCTGGGGAGGTGGGTGCAATGAGAAATACTGCCCTTTAGTTAGGTCTTCATCTGAGGAGGGCATCTCCCCTGCTCGGTGCAAAGCAAGACTGCAGACAGCTCCATGGCTAGAGCTGATGGTACTGGATGGAAGTTTGGAGATCTACAAGAATGGAAGAAGCCAAATCCTGGGTAATCTTGGAACAGTGACCAATCACTCAGGCCCTACACCAAAACAAGTAAAATGGCCCTGTCCTGTCCCAAGTGAATTCACAATCTAATTTAACAATCCTTTTCCCTGGCTTTGGAATTCATAATGTGATTTCTTCACTTGTGGATTTCCTTTCTTAATATGCTTTACTAATTCCAGAATTAAAAGTCTGCATTTCCTGAGCTTACCCTGGCCAGGTTCCAAGAGGAAGTGGCCAGCAGCCATTAAGAAGCCAGGAGGGGAACTGGGCTGGGATTAGAAATCACCTGGTGTGCTAACAATCTGTACATCGATAAGTATCGAGAAGGTTTCTAGTGGTTCTTGTCATTGTGATTTGTCTTTTTCCTTTCTCACTGCTTTTTTCCCCACTTTGAGACCCAAAAGAGAAGGGCATGGATACTTTTCTGTCCCGTCTTATTTGTATATGCTAATCAAAAGGAGAGCTTTACTTTTGATTAACAACCTTTCTCCTTTTAAATTCCAAGCACTATCTTGCTTCTCAAATGCTGAGAAAGCAAGAACCAACCTGCAGTAGGGGATCAAATGAGCTGGATACTGGGGAGCTTTCCTAAACTTGCTCCCCACCCCGTCCCTCCTAGTCCTACCCCCACATGCCTCACCAGCTGCCCAAGTGTGTAGACTGAACTGCTTTCCTGTTTCTTTCATCCCCTCCTTTTGTTCCCTGCCATAGGGTTGGCTTTTAACAGCCTCCCTACCCTGTTCTCACCACCTCCAATCCAATGTTGACACTGCTGCCCAAATGATTTTTCTAAAAAGACCGGTCACCCAGCTGCTTTTATAACTTCAAATAAAAGCAATAAAGATAAAAATAATAAAACTCATCTAATCATGTCACTCCTCTGCTCAAAATTCTGTGGTTTAAGGATAAAGTCCAATCTCAACTTGACGCCAGCAGCCCTTGTCAATCAGAGATCCGCACCTGCGTACTGCACCAGTCTTCTCTCCCGCCAGGCCTCCGCCGCACCCTGCTCCCCAGCCCTGCTGGATTTCTTAGTAATGCTGGCCCTCCCTTAGTTTCATACCATCGTGTCTTCCCGCAAGCTGACTTGTGCCTGGTGGTGACCCCTCCCTCCTCTCTGGCACCATCTCCTAGTCATCCTTGGAAACTCAGTTCACCTCTCCTTTTAACTGTCCTTATGTCTACAGCAGAGTATGAATCTGTCAAATCCTAGGTCCTGGGTACAAATTCCAAGTAGGCTACCTATTGAGTCCTTCAGCAAGTTACTTCACCTCTAGCCTACAATATATACATCCATAAAATGGGACTGATAGAACTTACCTTATAGGGCTGCCATGAGGATCACATATGGCAATGCCTCTAAGACCCTTAGCATAGTACCTGACAGGATAAAACACTCAGGAGGAATTATCACTACCTCTGTCCTAGACAGTTGTTCTTACTGCCAAAGAATAATTTTCAAAATGATAAAATCATAGGGGCACCCGGGTGGCTCAGCCATAAGCATCTGACTCTAGATCTCGGCTCAGGTCATGATCTCAGAGTGATGAGCCTGAGCCCCAGGTCAGGTTCCACACTCAGCAGGGTGTCCACTTGAGATTCTCTCCTCCCTCTGTGCCTCCCCATATCTCTCTCAAGTAAATTTTTTTTTAATGGTAAAATCAGAGGTGCCTGGGTGGCTCAGTTGGTTAAAGCGTCCCACTCTTGGTTTTGGCTCAGGTCATGATCTCAGGGTCATGAAATCTCTCTCCCCTCAAATAAAATCTTAAAAAATGGTAAAATTATAACTCTCATACAGATATAAAATGCACATGTTTATATAACTCAATAATTAAGGAAGGAACCAGTAAGATTTTATAACT